TGGCGGCGCTTTTGCTCGTGACGTCTTCACCGACCCCTCAGGAAACTTTCAAATCGCCGGATACATCGATCTGGACGCTCCTTCGTGGGCCACGATTGATGCTCGGATCTATATTTGGCACAAATGCTACGAGAAACCTTATGAGCAATCGGATTCATGTTACAATTGGTTTGAGATTGGAATTCCGAAACTGTTCATAAACGAGGGACCGTTGGCTCAGAAGACATGGGATCTGGGGGAGATTCGTCTGGAAGTGCCGAAAAAAGGACAACAATTAGATGCGTGTTAATTGAACTGTTGCTTGCAATGACAGTCTGATCTTCAACTAATGAATTGTTTATCATAATATCACAAACATTTTATCAGTTGACACATTTTTATAGCTCTCATAAGAGTGGAGGTCATTAAGCTCAAACTTGACGGTGTCTATTACCGGCTTTACGGCATATAAAAACGCTCCATCGAGAGTCTCTTATCACTAAAATGTCTCAAGGTTAGGAGCTTAAGCTCAGCGAACGCTTCTGGTTTTCCACGACACATAAGTGTTCCCTGAATTTTGACAGAATAGAGGATTACGTATGTTCGTTGTATGACAGTTAGAGCATAAAGTAGAATCTGCATGAAAAAGGCCGAGCTGAAAAAATTGTGTTAACTTGCCACCTTCATTCTGAAAGTCACCAAAAATATTGAAATTTTCGAACTCGTCCTGACGTGACTCCAAGTTCCACGCTCTCCTCTCTAACGTTCGCCACATGGAAAATTTCGGCGTTGGATTAACCCAAAAATAAGGAGACACAGTAATTCAAAAAATTGAATATCATGAAGGTAGGCGCATTATTTGGGGCCTTTTCCAAGAAAAAATTATGATCTACAAATTAGCCCTTCTAAGACTATTCAAAGCAACAGAAATAATTTCAGATCATATTCCTGCTAATTGCTATCCCACTAGTCGTTGCCAGAGAACAATCGGTTCGAGCGGTAGGAACTCTAACCTGCCACGGAGTCCCCGCACAATATGCTGAGCTTCAATTGGTCAGCAAAAAGGTTTTTGGTAACTACTTCACTTTTCAGATAGATCCTAAACTCTTCTGATTATTCAGGTGGCGACGCGTTTGCTCGTGACGTCTTCACCGATCCCTCTGGATACTTTCAAATCGCCGGATACATCGATCCGAGCACCTGGTCCACGATCGATGCTCGTCTCTATATTTGGCACAAATGCTACGAGAAACCTTATGAGCAATCGGATCCATGCAGCAATTGGTTCGAAATCGCAGTGCCGAAGCTGTACATAAATGAGGGACCGTTGGCTCAGAAGACGTGGGATATGGGAGAGATTCGTCTGGAAGTGCCGAAAGATGGACAAAAATTGGATGCGTGTTGATTGAACTGTTAATTGGAATAAATATTTTTAATGGAATATGATGAATGAAGTATGAGTTATGGAAGATCTAAATTTCGATAAAATTTGCTAAAGGGAAATTCTTGCTGTCTCGAATCTTATACCCAAGAATTTTTAGCCTGTTATCATGACAAGTTTAAATTTTGAATCTGCTCTGAATCTTTCTCACTTCAGTGTATTTTTCCCTACAGTATTCCTTTCAATTTTCAAATATTTCCCCCCCCCCACATTTATCCCGGAAAAGTTTTCGATTTCTGAAGGTCTAGATTTTTGTTTGGAGACTCTCTGCACGTTTTGTTACTCGTTCACTCGTGCGATTATTTTGAATAGACAATACCTGGAACATATAAATTTCAGTTTGGTGAATATGAAGCTGCCGGATTCTGCAATCCGCTCACTGAAAAATGGCAGATCTCCCAAGATTCTGGATTCAATACATTCAATCGATTGAATGCAGTTTGTATTGGACAAGGTAGATCAATGACAACTTTTGCAAAATAAAGTTCGATTCAGAGAAGAAATGCAATGCCTGCACCATGGATGGAATCATTACAAAGGGTTCTGAACCGTATAATTTGATTACCGTAAAACCTCTAATAGAACGACACCCGGAACGTCCACTTTGAGCCTATATATCTCACTTCTTTTGAAAGATATCAAAAAGTGTTTAACTAGTAAAATGTTTATCAGGATATCAGCAACATTTTACTAGTTAGCCGCTTTTTGATATCTTTTGCAGAAAATTAGATATATAGGCTCAAAGTGGACGATCCGGGTGTCGTGCTATTAGATGTTTTACGGTAATTGTTTCAAATTCTCCAGATTTTCTTTTGAAAATTCAGACACCTTTTGTTTGTGATGTATTTCATGTACTCAAAAAATTTTCTGTGAAATTTTATTTCTAAATTTTCCTCAAAATTTCTTGTTTCACGTTCTCCGAAAAAACATTGGAACTTAAATTTAGTAATAAATTTAACGTTTATGTTAGGTGAAAAAATTATTTACAAGGGAAGGTTTTTTAGACAACGGTTGAGAATTAGCTCAAAATTTGCATACTTATAGTTTAAGACATGCTCTATACGATGACGAAAAAATTTTTAGCCCGTTCTCACTCCCAGGCCGAAAACTTTGTCTGAAAATTTGGGCCGATTTCGGTGCGCTGGGGATTTCGTCTTCCCCTTCGCTCCTCTACGCCCTCCGCGCCAGAGGAAAATGTCGGTTGTGTGGTATTATGGTAAGAGGGTGTGTTATTAGGAGTGACTATGCTGGTTCGACCCCCCCGATGGTAAAACTTTTTTTGCATTTTTTGAAACTAATTTTCGATCCCAAGTTTGCCTTCCTAGGCACTATATGAGACTTTTTGATTAATTTCAAAAGTTTTCAAAGAAAAAAAAGATTTCATGAGAATTTGAGGAAAAAATAGATAATGGTCTTTTCGACCGGTTCTTACATCCTCGTATCGTTAAAAACAAAAATTTCAGTCTCTGAAAGTTGCTCAATTTTGCTCTTTTTAAGGTGGAGTACTGTCAAATCGATCACATACAAGATTCGAACCTATTTCTAGAGGTTTCAGTTAAGTTCAAGCAATATTTCAGAAATTAGGAACTGTTAAAGTTCTAACAACAATCAGGAGATTTTTTGAGCCCAAAGACAACATTGGGCTGAAAAAATTTGTCAGAATGCTATTTCTATCGTTTCTGAATAAATGGTACATTTTTTCGAACTTTTCAAAAAAATTTCAAAAAAATCACTTTCGAAGTGTGGGGGACCCCATGATGATTTTTTTTTCAAAATATTTCAAAAAAAAATTTTTTTTGAAAATGTTTAAAAGTTACTTTATAAGATAGAAAAATGTCCAAAAATGAGTTTCGCACTAGAGCAAATCTTGAAAAACTAATTTTTAACCTCGAAAAATGCATGTTTTGGCCGAAATTTAGTACTAAAGGCACTTTCAGAGCCCATATTTCGGCTCCTTTTGAGAACGGGCTAAAATTTTTTTTGGATTCGGATTCAGCATGTTCGAAAGTACCTTTGTACGAATTTCGAGCAAATTCTCAACCGTTGTCTGAAAAACCTTCTCTTGTATGTAAAATTGAATTGAAATTTTTAGATATTTCAAAGTTGAAAAATGTTCAAAAATCAAAATTTTTCACTTTTTCAACATCAGCACATCACAAAATCTCATTTTTTCGAAAAATGCACGGCGGGTTGCACGGCGGGTTTGAAACTTTGAGAAAATTTTTTTTTAATTATATTTCTTGATTTTACGATAATTTCAAGAAAAAAGTTTTGCTGTTTCAAATAGTTTTTAAAGTATTGGGCATTTTCTTATGCACCGACAAATCAAAATCGCCAATTTCACAACTTTTCAACAAATTGAGCAAAAAAAAAACTCACCAATACATGATTTTCTCTTTTTTTATAGCTCCAAAAAGAGAACACACCGGAAAAGAAATAACCAAAAAAAAATTGTTTTAGGTTCAAAATTCAGTGGTTCAGTCCAAATTTATTTTCCACATTCTCTCTTCCAAAAGAGACAATTTTAATTATCCGAAAATTTTTCAGGGAAAGAAGAATAGGATAGAGGAGGAGAATAGAAGGAAGAAGCTCAGAAACGAGAGACATAGAGATTTAGAGAAAAAAGAGCGCACACACAATGTCTGCGTCTCCTCATTGCTGCATACTCTCACGCCTTCAGAATATCGATATTAGGAAGAAGAAGAAGAAGAAGAAGAAGAAGAGGGAGGGGACGTAGACGACGTCCCCTCTTTTTCTGGCTCTTCAGAAAACGGACGGAGAATGCAAATGCATTTGGAATCATTTGGAGGAAGCAGATGGGTGGGGTGTCTCCAGAAGAGAGAGAGACACACACACATCCCCATATTGGCTTCATTAAAATGGGAGGAAAAAGAGAAAATCGGATTTATGGGAAATTTTTCGAAGGGCACCTAACCTTATTGAAATGGATGGGTTGGGGTTAATTTTTGAAAAAAAAATGTTTTTGATGTTTCAATTTCTAGAGTTAACCAGTAGTTGTGTTTCAAAATCAATTTGACATTGGCAGGAATCGAAATTGATTTCTAGACCATTCAGGAGAGTGCAAAACATTGTTTTTCAATTTCATTAAATCAAAATAAATAAATCAAACAAAAGAGGCTTTAAAAACAGCTTTGTGATACACATTGAATCTTCAAATCTCGCTTTATTTTTCTATATTCTGAAACAGAACGTATTCTATTGTTGTTTTCTTACTGTGTACCAGTAGAAATTTGAATTTTATGTAACTAGTTTTTTGAATTTGAAAAATTATGGAAAATAAGATTTCTAGAGAATTTGGATCTTCCAAAAAAGGCAACAAATGATGGACTCATTGAAACCAAATAGCAGTGAGCAATAGCAGTGACTTCAATAAACAATTTGAAACAGAGAAAATTGTTTAAAAACTGTTCGGAAACTTCCAGACCGCCGTATTTTCATTAAACTTCTACTACTTGCCTAGAATTTTCAGCTTTTAATGATTTTTTGAAATCAAAAATTCAGTCTTAATATCATAACAAAAAGTCTAACGGAAATTCAAATTTCAGAATGCACCAATTTTTAAGCTTTGAATTGTTCTATAAAATACGATTTCTAGACAATTTTAGATTTTTCTTAAAACCTCAAAGAGTCATGTGCCCATTAAAACCAAACCAGTCGGTTTACGGCCCTTTCGAGGCTGAACCTCCTGGCCTTCGGTTACAGTATCTGTAATCTTGGCTTCAAAAAGAGGCTTCGAAACTTTTATTGAGGGAATTTTTTTGTCTAAACTTGGAAAATAGGAAATTTAGAAATTCAGAGTTTTGTAAATTTCTTTTGTAATTCTGAGTGTCTGGAATTCTAGTTTTTGATGATTCTGATTTTCCAGGTTCTGAAAATATAGATATCGAAATATTCGGAAATTGAGAAATTGAGTTTAAACTTGGGGGGGGGGGGGAGGGGATTTTTTCAAAATAGACATTCAGGAGTTTTTTTGTTCTTTTCCGAATTTTCTATATTTCGGATTCCCGGATTTCTAGAATTCATTGATTTTTGAACTTTCAAAATCCTTATTTTCCGAATTTCCTATTTCCGAAATTCTAATTTTTTTCATTCATGGTTTCAGAAATTTGGAAAGTCAGAAATAAGGACATCCAGATATCCAAAAAATGAGACATTTTGAAGTTCGGGGGTTATTTTTCTGACTTTTGGAAATCCGATGTATCAAATTCAGAAGTTCGAGTTTGCTACTTCTCAACTTTCCGAAATTCTAATTTTTGAAGTTTTGGTGTTCAGAATTTCATATTATCAGCTTTACGGAAATTCGGGAGTTAAAAGATTAAGAGAGTCGGAACTCGGAAATCCAGAGCCGAAATTTCAGCAATTCGAAAACTCTGAAATTGTAAAAGTTAACTGTAAGTAAAATGTGAATTTTAAGAGCTTTTAAATTCCCAATATAATTTTTAGTTTCCGAATTGTTGAAGTCACTAATTTCAGAAGATCCAAATTTTATATATTTCGAATTTCAAACAGTTAACTTTTTGGAAGTTTCATGAATAGGGACCCTGAAATTAAGAGAAGAATTTCAGTAGTTGGGAAATTGAGAAAATAAGAAAATTCAAATTTAGAGTTCCGGAAATTTGAAAACTCAAAAATTCGCAAATTTCGAATATCTTAAATTTCTAAGAAAGGCAAATATGGATCTTATAAATTCGATAAATTAAGTTACCTTTGCCTTATATCATATTTTCAGAAGCTTCAAAATAGAACTAACTTTTCCTTCCTACTTGATACTGATCAAATCAGAAAAATGTGAAAACACCTTCCCGCAATCGAACCAATGAGAGAAAACATTATACACATTCTCTTTCACATCTAAAATCTTTTCAAAAATCAAAAAAAAAAGAAGTTCCCGCCTGCAGGACTCGAACCCGGGTCGCAAGGACAAAAACGTAGTGCGTTAGCCACTACACCACTGGTCACCACAGGAAACGTGATAGAGATGGCGTACACGTGTGTGTTGAATTTCCTCACCATCTCTCCCTCTTCCCTCCTCTCGCGCCCTCTCTGCACACCACGCTTTACTGTGGTGAAACCAAGGAACGTCTCCAGAAGATTTCAAAATCAAAATTTCGAAAATAGAAAGAGTCGGGCAAAAACTAATAAAAATTTTCGATTTGCCTGTCTAGGTTTCAGCTCAATCGGTTATCTTTGAATGGGTGAACCGACACGCTACATCCATCCGGACATACGGAATTTGGTGAATGTTATTAGTAATGATATCAGCCAATTTAAAACAGAGAAAATATTTTCAAAATTGTTCCAGTACTTCCATCACGTTTCTAACGGTGGTCTAGAATTTTCAGTTTTGGCGGAAATTCAAAAAAAAAAGAAATATTGAAAACTTATCCCTAAACTTTTACGGTTTTAGAGAAGTCATTAGTTTTGGAAAGAAAAAGTGTGTTCAATAATTTTGTGCTTTTAGTAAAAATATACGATTTTTTGTCCTGTTCCAATTCCTTACACCAACTGAAAGATCAGAGAGTCAGACTTTCATTTTGAATAATTTTGTACATTTTGTCAGTTGGTCATTTTCTTGCTATCTTTTCAGAGAACATTCCATTAACAAAGTTTCATATGCACAATTCATTATTTGATTAAATCTGTTTTAAAAGAAAAAAGAGGGAAAGATCAATGAATTGTCCTTGAAATCCTTCTTGTATCTCCAACTTTTTATTATTTTCAGTCTGAATTATCTCTCCATCATCGTCTGAATTGTCGGCAGGGATGGTAACCTTTTGACCGTTATCTTGAACTTCGTGAACTTCGCAAATTGATTTCAGTCTCGACTCCAACTGACCACACCGCATGAATTGTCTGATTGCAGTTCCAGGAGTTGACTCCAGCTCCAGAGCTCCAGCTCCAGAGCTCCAGCTCCAGAGCTCCAGCTCCAGAGCTTCAGCTCCAGAGCTCCAGCTCCAGAGCTCCAGCTCCAGAGCTCCAGCTCCAGAGCTCCAGCTCCAGAGCTCCAGCTCCAGAGCTCCAGCTCCAGAGCTCCAGCTCCAGAGCTCCAGCTCCAGAGCTCCAGCTCCAGAGCTCCAGCTCCAGAGCTCCAGCTCCAGAGCTCCAGTTCCAGAACTCCGGCTCCAGAACTCCGGCTCCAGAACTCCGGCTCCAGAGCTCCGGCTTCAGAGCTCCGGCTTCAGAGCTCCGGCTCCAGAGCTACAGCTCCAGAGCTCCTGGCTCTGGAGCTCCTGGCTCTGGAGCTCCTGGCTCTGGAGCTCCTGGCTCTGGAGCTCCTGGCTCTGGAGCTCCTGGCTCTGGAGCTCCTGGCTCTGGAGCTCCAGCTCCAGAGCTCCCCTCCCCTCTCTGGAGGCTAGAGAAAAGGAGAACTGATTCTTCCCTCCACTTCCCTCTTCTTTTATAGTAATCTGCCCGAGGTCAATGGGCCACCTGGGGTCGTCAAGTTTTTTACGTCGCTTTTTTGTTGGAGAATTTAAATTTTTTGAAAACTTCTCTTGCCACGTGGATTTCTTCAATCTAATTTTTTTTCACCACGTCTAAATACCACTTGAATTTTCAATTTTTTGAGTTATGAATTTTGAAAAAAAAAAAAAAAGTGAAATAAACTGTCAACTTTGAGCCAATTTATCTCGGTTCCTGTGAAAGATGTCCAAAAATTGTCAACTGATAAATTGTTCATCATAGTATCATTAAAATTTTCTCAGTTGAGCACATTTTGTTATCGTTTACAGGAACCGAGATATATGAGCCCAAAGTTGACAGTTTGTGGGACATCCTATTATAGTGATTACAATAGCTTTCACTGAACAAAAAAGAAAGTGATATGGGTCCAGAAGGTCCTTGAAATTCTAAATATCGAGAATTCTAAAATTTAAAAATTTCCCAATATTTTCTTTTTGAGATTTTCCGGATCTGTCTTCTGACACTTTGTCAAGATTGCTTTATTGAATCTCGATTTGATGTTTGGCCAATTTTGGACGTATAGCGGTTCGGCGTAGCGATCGCCAGCTTAGTAGCGATTCAGAAACGCTTTAATTTTAAACAAGTTGTTTTGAAACTCCTAGTAACTGCAATTTTCAGACGGAAATACGGATTTATAGGTCATTTTTCAAAGGGCGCCTAACCTTATTTTAATGAACAGGGTTTCAGTTTGCTTGAAACATTTGTTTTTTTAATGCTAAAAATTCTAGAGTTAAATAATTTTTGGTGTCTATTTTTGGTGTGTTGTAAATTAATTCGATATTCAGGTTATTTCAAAAGAATTGAAACTGATTTCAACGCTTAATGTCACCTGACAGCTGTCGTCCTCACCCTTATGTTTACCATCGGACGTCCACTGCATTTTTGCCCTTAAAATATGTCTGAGGCTTTGAAAACGACCATCAACGCAGGATCCACATTGATTCACCAAAAAGTGAATCAAAAATATAGTCTAAATTACTAAATTAACCATTTTTCATGATCTAAATATGTACATATTTTCTGAAAAAAAAGTTATTCCTATAAAATTTGGGACCTTACAACAAATTAAGGTTGAAAATTCAACAATTGGTGATTAATTGATAAGAGTATCAGTCAGAAAACTCTTATAAACAATTTGCAACAGAGAAAATATTTTCAACGTATCACCTTCATTAATAAAATGAAACGGCGAAAAAATTTGGGAATTTAGATTATTTGAATTCTATTTTCTTTTTAATTTTAAAGACTATATTTTTTTAGAAAATAGAGGACAAAATTAGTTCAAGAATTTTGAACAAATATAAATTTAGATGTCTTCATTGTCAGTTAAGTATTTCGAGTTTTCTTTCATATTCAGAAAAAATCGAAATTTCTTCAAAATACAATATTACTGTTTCGGTACATTGCTAACGTTTATTCATTTTTTCTGACAGCAATCCATTAGCTTAAGTGTGGATTTCATAGTTATCTGTGAATTTCGTTATTATTTCAACGTATTGCATTGATTTTCCGTTGTTTTTTTTAAGGATCTTACGAGAAAATCAATTTTAAGTTAGTGTAAAAAATTTAACTAGTCGAAATACATTAGCCTCTTTGGCTCTTTATGATTTAACGGGGGTTTAAAAAATTAACGGGTGGTTTTGAACTTTTGAAGGGGTTTTGGGAATTAACGGGGGTTTAAATATTAAACGGGGGTTTCCAGAAGGTGTCAGAGTCATGGTTGGGAAAGTCCCCATAATGTTCCAAAGTGCTACAGTTTCTTGTTTTTTCATTTCAGTTGATTTATTCTTTTCTGAAATCATTTTTTTTTCTTTTTTCGTTTCTAAAGTTTTATGGCCCTGTTCTAGAATTGCGGAACGAATGAAAATCACATAAAAAAATGGGTAGGAAAATTTTGACACTAGGAAACCTTCGTAGATTATAGGCTTAGGCTGAAACGCCATATTTCCTTCATCTAAGTCATCGGAAAATTGGCGGCAAGTTACATAACTCTGCTAGTTCTAACCTCGAATCCAAAATACAAATGTACCGCTTTCCCGGATCACTTGACTCGCCAACACCATTCAACCTCTCTAGGAGCAACTATTTGATCGCCCTTCCGTTTCTAAGCCTCATGTACCTGCTTCCAAGGTTAGATGATAGATAAAGTTTTTTTCGTTCCGTAATTCTAGAACAGTGCCATGAAACTTTAGAAACGAAGAAAGAAAAAAACGAGAAAATGATTTCAGAAAAGAATAAATCAACTGAAATGAGCAAAAAACAAGAAAGACAGAACAGTTTCCTTAGTAAGAAGTAGATTTTGGAAACTTCTAGAATGTCGTATTTTCGTCACTTTTCTAATGGTTTTTCTAATGGAGAGTTTTCGGTTTTGGCGGAAATTCAACAAAAAAAGAGGACATTTCCGCCTAAACTTTCTGTGTTTCAGAAAAGCTATTTGTTAGTAAAGGACTACTTGTTGAAATTATTCTTATCACATTTTGATGTTTCAACTTTATATTTAGATTTTTTATAGAAGTTCAAAGGTTTAACAAAATTTTAGTCGATTTTCTCATAAAATTCTAAACAATAAAACTGATTAAAACTAAACAAGATACAGGGAGCATGTAGATCGCGTTCAGACTAGATCAAAACACTTTAGGAATGTAGCGAAACTGTACTCTTTTTTTTTTGAAGGAATTGTGATTTTTCTGAAAATTTTAAAAGTTCGAAGGGCTCAACTGCAATTCGAAACACCAAGCTAAATTTTAAAAATATCAAATTATTTTTTTTTCAGTTGAAACTTCACATTTTGACGCAAGAGAAAATGTTGTCTGTTTTAGCAATTCTTTGAAAATTTGACCGAAACAGAACAGCTGATTCCACTTCCGTAGTATTTTAGAAGTGAAAAATTCGGAGAAAATAGTTCTGAAATCTTCCAGAAAGTACACAGATTCTAAAAACCCCAATTTTCCCAGTTTTTCAAAAATCCGGCTTCAGTTTATTTCCCAAATCTGAAAATATCAACAAAGTTTGATTCAAAGTTTATTATAAAATCAGAGAAGCACAAAAAACATCATATTTTTTAGCAAAATAGCAAGTTCAGTACAGTATGTATAACATAATTCGGGCAAGAGAGTATCCAATAAAGAATTCTTAAAGTTCAATTTAAGCAGCTGGACATCCTGGTCCACGTTCTCCCTCCTTGCACTTGCAATCCGCATCCTTCATTCTTCTATCAGTGATATCACGTCCTTCTGGTGTCTTTCCAATCACACACAGACATCCTTTTGGTCTTGGGAAACATCCTTCCTTCAATCCCTTGAACTTGTTCTTCAACTCATCAACAACGGCGGCGTAGTTGGCTTGAGCGCGCTCTCTGGAAATTTTGAAACTTTAAAAATTCGAAAGTAATTATGTGAATGGTTAAGAAGTTTGCTGTTTTTTGATTCTTAGGAAATTCGATCTTCTGCTTTTGATTTTGAAGTAGATAAGCCCGTGAGATTCTCAAATAACATCTATTGGGGATGTGCGTACAATTTAAACTCAATTATCTCAAGTCCAACTAAGTATATCAAAATATTTTCAACTGATATAATGTAGCTGACATCAGGGAAAAGATTTTATCAGTTGACAGATTTTTGATATCTCATATAGGAGCCGAGATAGTTGAGCTCAAAGTGTGTGTTGAGCTTGATTACGGTAAATAGCAGAAATCAATTTTTTTTTGCTGTTCCGTCTCCTCTAGTTTTGTTTAAGAAAAACCCCTGTTTCAGTAAAATCATAATTTTTCATTTTTGTTAGATACATGTTTTTCGGATGAGATCGTAAGTTTTTTGAAATTGTTTTCCGAAATCAAACTAGGGTTTAACCATTTGAACTCTAAACGCTCCTAAAAAAATCATGTCTAAAAAATTTTTGTTTGCTCAAAGGAAAACCTGACATGGTTTTAATAATAGCCTTTGTTACAATATTTACTCTTTCTCATTGAAACCCAAAAACACCAATTTGTTGGTTTTATACCTATCCAATTACTACTACTAACACTTTAAAAAATTTTCCAAATTTAAATCGAGCTCAGGAAACAGTAAATCGAAAAAAAATTTTGCGGTTTCGACAAGCTATCATAAGTTGATTCGGTTGTAATCTCAATATTCCTTGGCATTTTTCATAAGCTTAACGCGCATAACTATTTTTTTTTCAATTTTTAGTAGATGAGTTTTAAATGATGATTGTCTAGCTAATTTCGGGGCTTTCAAAAATTGTAACATACAGTAAGACTAACTCAAACCCTTAAAGGTAGGGCTATAAAAAATTATAATTAATTTTTCCACATTTTACAGTAGTTAGCTCATCAACTAATTGACAGATTTTTATACCCTTTGAACGTGAAAAAAAATGAACGTTTAGCATGGACAACAATACATCATGTTTGTGAAACAGTGAGAAATTGGTCAAATTCAAAATACGATAACCTTGTTTGAAAGCGAAAAACTCATGTTAACCTCAACCGAATTGGTTGATTGTTATACAATTTTGTGAAATTCTTACCCAAAGTTCATACATTGAACATTGAAGGAATGAAATAATACATAAAGTTGATGAAACAGTGTAAATATTAGTCAACTATACCTTTCTTTAAGGCGCATCACTCTTGATTTTTACACTGTTTTGAAGAAAAATTTAAGGGCTTTAAAATATTACTAAATGCCAAATAAAAAAGCAATGATAAACCTTACTGGATCTTTAAAATTCGAAACACTATGAACTAGTTTAAAGGCGCGTCACACATGTTAACCTCAATCGAGTTTTTATGATTTTTACACTGTTTAAAAACTCGGTTAAGGAAATTTCTATCTAATGAACAACCATTGAACGTTCGGGACACAAAACAATACATAAAGCTGGTAAAATAGTAAAAAGTTTGGTCAAATCCAAATAGTTTTAACCTATTTCAAAGGCGCATAACTTAATTCAATCTCAACTGAACCACTTTTTAATATAGTTTCAGAGAGGATTTTATATAGCTTCAAGATAATAATGAATATCCTACTCTCTATTCTCAGTTTGTTTCAAAAGCCAAATACAAATCTTATTCCAACCCTAAACCAAATTTAACACGCTAAAGCTCAGTTTAAAGGCGCATAACTCATGCTAACCTCAATCAGAACGTTTGATTGTTATACCGGTTTGAAGACAATTCTAGTGACTACTTTGAACATTTGAATCGGTTCAAAAAAAAACCCAAGACTAACCACACTGGATCCATTAATAAAGTTCACGAAACGAAAGTTGTGAATCATTCTGAACACTTTTTACGAAAATTGTAATCGAGTCCAGGAAACAGTAAATTATTAGAACGTTTCCAAAGTTTAAAGGCGCATAACTCATGTCAACCTAAACCACAAAAATTCATTGTTAAACCGTTTTGAAGACAATTTTTAGTGCTTCAAAATAAGACTTACCTCACTGGATCCCTAACATCATAGTTTGGCTGAGCTTGCTTCACATCCTTAACATTGGCTCTAGCAATATTGGCTGGTTGACGTTGAACAGTAGCTCCAACATCTCTCTTGACTCTAGCCTTACATTGTTCTGGATTGTTGTAAGCAGTCACCACTTCATTTCCATTGGCATCCTTCTCATTGCACTTGCATCCTCCCGATGGTTTTGGGAAGCAATTCTCCTTGAATCCACCGAACTTCTCCTTAATCTCCTCGTTCAACTCCTTCTTGTGCTCAGCGGTCACTGACTCAACGCTCTTCTTGCATTCGGCATCAGTACTGTACTCGGCAACCTCTTTACCATGCCCAAGATCCACGTTGCACTTGCATCCTCCAGATGGTTTTGGGAAGCAGTTGTCCTTGAAGTCACCGTATTTTTGTTGGATTTCTGCATTGACTGCCTTCTTGTTCTCAGCTGTTGCCATCTCGACAGACTTCTTACATTGGTCAACGCTGTCGTACTCGCGGATTTGGATTTCATCATTGCCTTCCTTAACATCGCAGGAGCATCCACCGGATGGGATGATCTTGCAGTTGTCGCGGAGGACAAGAGTTGGTCCTGCAGCGTCACGGCGGACCGCGGCCTGAAATTTAATTTATTGCATTTGCGCTCTACTGTTAACATGCTTGGATTCAAAACTTCGGAATTCGAAGTCACTAGAGTGGTGTTATGTTGCTACTAAGTAAGGGATCGTAGTGTGCCCGCGAAGTAACCAATTCTATCGTTTTATTCGAGAACAAAAAATTTTTATGGTTTATGGAAAACAGTAAAGTATTAGAATTTATGTTTTTGATTTTCATAAATTTTCAGGTATTTTATGGACAAACTCTAACCAAGTGCTATTAAAAAATTTATTGAAACGAAAAATTTAACAAAAACGTTAAGTTTTGCTGATTTTCCAAAAAAAAAAAACATTTCGGGAAGATTTTCTGGAAAAAAAAACCAGCACCAAGCGATCAATATTTTGAAGATAACATTCTTAAATTCACTTTCTTATTTAACCAGAAAAGTTAATTTTTCCTTATCATTCAACTTTTACGGTTCAAATTTTGGGAATTTACATCAAACTTTTAAAATAATTTCATTAAAATCAGCTAGCAAGAACAATCTAATTCCACTAATTTTTCCGAAAATTTTTTTGAATTTCTGAGATTTATGTAACTGAAAATTCGATTTTTTTTTAATTGGACAAATGAAACGACAAATAATCTGCACAAATTTTTTTGAATTAGTCGTATTTGTGAAACTGGGAATTTCGAAAAAATGGCATTCATCGAAAAAAAATTCTGCATCATTTTGAGATCATAATCATAACGAAAAATGTATTTTTTTAAATCCTGTATCTGATTTTCCGATTTTCTATAATTAACTTTTTATCATCATTTATCATTTCTATTGACTCTTTTTCTTCTAAAAATACTCCCTAATCCGTTTCTCAAACTTTCCGCCTCTAATTTTTTTTACTTCCGAAAAAAATCTACTCCCCGTTCTTCTTATTTTTTCGAATCTCTCAAGTCTTGAAGAAAACAACAACTGTTCTTTATCACCTCTTCCTCTTATCAGTATTTATCTTTTCAGTTGAAAAAAGAGAAAAAAACGGATGAATGACGGAAAAGAAGAGGCGAAATTGTTACACTCTTATAATTTATTAACCCGTATTTTCTTTCTTTTTTATCTCAAATTTTCGAAAAAAATTGGGGAGAAGGAAAAGAAGATTCTCGATTCTTTATGAGAAAATCAACAAAAATCAAGAAAAAATACGTGAGAAATGGGAAGTTTTGAGGGATTTGAAGTAGAAAAAGTTTTTGGCTAAAAATTTCAGTTTTTTTCGAAAATCGAGTTTGCTGAAAAATGGAAAGTTTAGAATTCCAAAGTATCATATCTACTATTTCATCCTATAAAAACTGTAATTTTACAAATTTTCTGAAACTGTAATTTTTTTATTTTCTGTTATTCATCGGATTCTCGAAAACAATAAAAAATAGCCGAGAATTTTCAAAAAATTGAAAAATATAAAAATATTTCTAAAAGATCAAAAAATCCCATTTGCATCAAAAATACAATAAAACTTGCGTTTTCACTAACTTTTTGGAACTGAAATAATTTTTTAAATTTGAAACTTCCAATTTTTTCAAATCTAATTTTCATAAGCTCTAATCTTTTCCAATTTTCATTCAGTCTATTTGTTGAAATGGTTTAATCATCGGAATTGTTTCAAATTTGGATTTAAAATGATAAAAATGTAATGAAACAGAATTTATGAAATTTATAGTAAACGGCGCTATACTTCCACTTTGAGCTCAATTATCTCGGTTCCTATGAGAGCTATCAAAATTTTGTCAACTGATAAATAATTTATCATATTATCACCAACATTTTCTGCGTTGACACATTCTTAATATCTTTTATAGGAACCGAGATAATTGAGCTCAAAGTACGGAATGTGTATAAGAGAATAATATTAAAAGTTTGTATTCTACCAGCCAAATTACCAATTTCCTAAAACAGATTTTATACTTTAAACTTTTAAAAAACCAACCTGAGAAAGTGCGAAAATCGCAGCGAGTACCACAAAAGAACACCTCATTTTTAGTTGTCCTTCAAAAGGAAAAAAAGATTGAGTCTCTTTTCTTCTCTTTTTTGTTGACAAGTGGAGACTAGCTACCGACTGACGGGCCGTTTTATACACTTTCGCTTTTTCTCTAACACTCTCTCACTTTTCTATTGTTCTTTCTTCTGTGGGCGGAGCTTGAAGAAGGAGTTTGTTATTTTGATATCCTTGGGAGAGAGAGAGAGAGAGAGAGAGAGAGAGAGAGAGAGAGAGAGAGAGAGAAAAGTCAGTAGAACCATTTGTAAACTCATTATGAAATTTGAGAAGATACAAATGCTTCCGGGGGGCCATATGATTTTTCAAAAACGATGAGTCACTTTTTTCAAAATGACCTATAAACAAATCCATTATCACAAAGTGATCAATTGGAAATGAGTCATAGGCTTTTTGTTTATTTTTTGGGATTTTTTTCCAACGAAGTAGTTTTGGCTAATTGAAATTTCAAAAATTCAATTAAAATTTACAAAATCATTGTTACAGCAACGGAGACAACATAATTGCTTTATTTGATTTCTTTACTTTTTTTTTGAGTATCTGAAACATTGAAAATAATTGAAAATTGTCACATTTTTTCAAAATCGTTCACTTGTGGACAATTGAAAAAATTAATGTAATTGCCCGCGGTATGTCCGGGGTATCAGGTTCCTGTGATAAAATAGAAGAAAATCAACAAGAAATGTAACAAAATCGGTTTATTATGAACAAGTTAGAAAGAAACAACAAATAAAAGCTTAGAATTCAAGCAAACTCAGTTAAAATCCTTAAAGGTGGGGGGACAGGAGATTTTTCGTAGGATTTTTGTAGCTAGGGTATGCATTCTACCGTGACGGTCCCATTATGCCAACTTTGACCAAATATATCTAGGTTCCTGGAAAAGATATAAAAATTGAGTAAACTGAATAAATGTTTCTGATATTACGATAAACATTTCATCAGTTAAACGTTTCTTGATATCACAAACAGAAAACAAGATAATGAGGTCCAAAGGAACGATCTTTTAAAGGAGCTTCACAAATTTCAAAAGTGAAAATTCGAGTGTTGTTTAAACGTGATGAAAAAAAGTGAAATTTCAATTCGGAAAAATCACGCGATAGATATCCCATTAACCTCGTGGAGATGTGGAGATTACTATAAAAGAAAAGAGAAGTGGAGGGAAGAATCAGTTCTCGCTTTCCCTGGGCTCCAGAGAAGGGAGCCGGGGGGAGGGATCTTGGACAGGAGCCTGGGACCTGGAGCCCGGGTCCTGGAGCCCGGATTTTGGAGCCTGGGTCCTGGAGCCCGAGTCCTGGAGCCCGGGTTCTGGAGCCCGGGTTCTGGAGCCCGGATTTTGGAGCCCGGGTTCTGGAGCCCGGGTCCTGGAGCCCGGGTTCTAGAGCCCGGGTTCTGGAGCCCAGGTTCTGGAGCCCGGGTTCTGGAGCCCGGGTTCTGGAGCCCGGGTTCTGGAGCCCGGGTCCTGGAGCCCGGGTCCTGGAGCCCGGGTCCGAACAGTTAGGCTTCTAGATGCTAACTGTTTTCATCCTGTGTCTGTAGGAGCTGGACCTCAACCTAGAACTCGAGCTGGAGCTGGAGCTGGAATCAGAAGCTAGGAGCATGTCATGAAGGCGGAACTGGACCAGGAACAAAATGAAGTGCTGGTGGAGAATCTAGAAACGAACGTCGTGTTTTAAAGAAATGTGCTGTCTGCAATGAAATGACCTACGACAAGCCAGATCATTTGGAGCGCTTCAGATGTTCAGATTGAAAATATGAAGAAAATATTTGTTGATCTTACTGTTTCATTTATTGCCTAAATCTTTGAAAAATGGGGAACCGCTTGCTGCGTATTCTTTGTGATTTGCTAAGAGAAATAAACAATATGATAGACTGATAAAATGTATTTCGTATTTTTTTTTGTACGATGCTGGAAAATCAGTGAATTTCGAAAATTTTAATGTTCTCCGATTTTTCAAGTTTGTCTAAAAATATGGTAATCCGAATTTTGAATTTATGAACTTTTAGAATTTGTGAATTTCAAAATTTCCGAACTTCTCCAATTTTCGAATTTCTGAATTTCCTAATGTTATAATTTTGTTACTGTTTCAATTTCCTGATTTATATGATCTTTAAAATTAAATTTTTATTGAATAATATAACCAAAGTTTATATTTTATTCCGTTTGATCAACAAAAAAAATAATAGGACAGACAGAAAATCCTTATTCTGACTCAAAGAAAAAGGAAACAATAGAACCTTAACAAAGATTATCTTGCTCTTTTGTGTTTAAAGCAATTGCTCAGCTTAGTGACCTCATAGAAAATTTGTGTCTTAAAAAATTCTTATATAAGGTAAGACATAAAGTTTGAGCAGTCACAAAAAATCACAAAAAATCACCAATAATTTTTTTCGTTTTCTCAAATAAATTAGCCTAATTAGCCTAACTACCCCTAATTATGTCTTCCAATGGTACTTATCTTTTCTGGATATCTGTCACTCACTTCGTCCCAAAACTAGGTTTTGTGCTCACCACATTTTTTGGCTCTGTTCTCCTTTTTCTCAATTTTTTTGGAGCACAAAAAAATTTTGGAAGTTATAAATACCTTATCAGTGCGTTCACTCTACTTGGCATGGTTTTTGCCACAGTGGAGATTATGGTTTATCCGGTGAGAGGAATGGCGGGAAATTTGAATTTTCGAATAGAAAATTCCAGAACGTTCATAACTACAAAGCTGGCTTATTATTCTTCAGTTTTGAGGAGTCTTGGGGTTTACATGGACCATATTCCAGGAATTTTCCATTGGGTACGTCTGAATTTTTTTTTCAAAAAATTAAATATCAATAGTTTTCAGCCGGCTACACATTTTTCCATTCAGCAACTATGGCATTGTTATCAGTGCATTTCATATACAGGTATTGGGCGGTTTTTGAGTGAGTTTTGGGAACAATTGGAGAAATTGTTTCAAAATGTTTTTTTTTTTCAAAAATTCTGACTCCGTGTTTTTTCTATATTCATACTTGTACTTTCCGTCCGTAAACACTCTAATAGAACGCCACCCGGACTGTCCACTTTGAACTTATATATCTCACTTGTTTTGAAAGATATCAAAAAGATGTCAACTAATAAAAAGTTTACCATGATATCAGCATGATTTTATCAGTTAACCACTTTTTGATATCTCTCACTGAAAATGAGATACATGGACTCAAGTTTGACAATTCGGATAGCGTTCTATTAGAGTGTTTACGGTATATAACTTGTGATAAACACATTTTTAACATTTGAAAATTAATAAGTTAGAACAGAAAAAATTGAGTTTTTCTGAATATCAAAATTTCAGCTCTCAATTCTTTTTTCATCATTTTCAATTTTCAAAATGAATTCAAGAATAATTTTAAAGAATTCCTAATCTTTCGAAAAAAAAATTTATCATAAACTCTTGAAGAAAAAATTTGAATATAACAACTACAGTGTTCAAGGACTAAAGTATCGTAATTTCGAAAATCAAAACAAAACCATGAAACTGTGATTTTTCAATTTTTTTTTCAAAAATAAGTTTTTTGTTTCGTTATTTTGAGAAATTTTAACTTTCCTTCAAAAAGTGTTCCCATTCGCATCAATCTTGGAATTTTGCAACACTACAAACTGTGGATATTCGAAAGTGAACATATGAAAATTTCAGCATTTTTCAGTAATCAAAAAATTCTCAAAAAGTCTTTGTATTCAAAAATTGCAATGTTAAAAGTTCTATGTCAAATTCGAATCAAGAAGAACTGACAAATGTTAGAATCCAAAAACTAACACAAAAAATATGAAACTGTGAAAAATAATTTTTTCAGTTTTTTTCGAAAAAAAAAATTTCCTGTTCCACTATTTCAAGAAATTTGAATTACCTCCCGAAAAAATGGTTATCACATAAACACATAGATTTTCAAGCTCTAAAATTCCGGATGTCCCAAAGAATCGTTTCTTAAATTTTTTCAAATTTTTCCAGCACCAACAAACTCTCCTATTTCAAAGGTCCCCAATGCCTTATCTGGTTTGCCTATTGCACATTTTTTGGACTACAGTACGCCCTGGGAACTTATTTCACACTACAAAGAGATTCAATTTCTGACGAATACCTCCGAGAAGACGTCCTTCTTCGTTATAACGTAAATTTGACTGAAATTCCAGCCATGACGATTTTAGCCTACGATCCGACGGATGGATCGATTCGGTGGAGGAACATTTTTGGAATTTTAAATATTTGTGCAATTTGCAATTTTCAATACGGAATTATGATTTATTGCGGATGGGCGATGCATGCAAAAATGGAGGATAAGATTAAGAACTTTTCGGAGACTTTGAGAAAACATCATAAGCAATTTTTTAAGACCCTAGTCTTGCAGGTAAGGTGTTTTTCGTGGAAATTAGAAATTCACAAAGACAATACCAAAATATGGAAGATCTTAGAATTCATTGGTAGATGGAAATCATGAAACAGAAAAAAAATTCCAGATCACCGCCCCTACCATAATCCTATTCATTCCAATTACAATTATAATTTTTCTTCCATTATTCAATTTAGATGTTATCAGTGTTCCATCTGGAGTTATGCTTTGCAGTTTCACATTATATCCAGCTTCAGACTCTTTGATTGTCATGTACGTCGTCTCGGAGTATAGAAATACTGCTAAACGTAAGTTGTTTCTTGTTTTTGAAAATCTTGGAGGATATGTAACACACGAGTATCCGCGAAAAATTGTGTTCAGTTAGAAATGGAAATTCTGAAACTTTAATTATTTGAAACTTGAAAAAATCTCTACCAAGGTTATACCGAGGTTCCCAACGTAACTTTAAAAACTGATATTTTGGAATTTGAACGACAGCGAATTTCAAAACTTTTTAAAACATTATTTTTTGACTTCCGAATCGTAGTTTTAAATTTAAAAAAAATTAAACGATCTTTGGAAAACGGGAAAAATTACCTTAGCATCTGCAAGAAAATGTGTTCCGTTTAAATGAGAATTCTGAAACTTTTTCTGAAAAAAATTTCTGAAAAACGAAATTTTGAAATTTCTAAAAATTAATAATTCTTCGAATTATTGAAATTGGAGTTTTCCGAGTAATTTCTTAGGGATTTTCGCTATCAATTTTGTAATTTTTCTGGTAATTTTCAAAATTAGAGAAACATCAAAAACATTCTGGGTGGTATCTGTTTTTCCAGATGTCCATTGCGAGTATTTTCAGATCTCATTTTTCAAATTTTCAGTCAACTCAATCCGATGGTCTCATTATTTTCCAAACTTCACGAAATCTTTTTTTCGAAGTTTTGAAACATCCCAAATTTTTTTTTCAAATTTCTATTCATCCAGATGTCCACTTTTGACCATACTTGTAAAATTCCGGGCCGGGCCCGGGCCGGGCCTGAGGAAATTTTCAAGGCCCGGGCCCGGCCCGGAAGGCCCGGTGTCAAAAATTCTGTATTTTTGAGCCAAATTTTGAGCTCTCAATATAATTTTTTTCCATTTTTTTTTTCGTATTTCGGATTGTTTGTCTGTCTGATCAAATAAGATCGAAAAACTCGAAAAAAAATTTTTGGTCGAAAAAAATCACATAAGGGTCCCCTTATGTGTTTTTTTGAAAATTTCAAAACTAGTGAAATGACGGGCCCGCCGGGCCGGGCCTCAAAAATTCCGGAAAAAGCCCGGCCCGGCCCGTTACAAGTATGCTTTTGACTTTTTTCAGGTCTAATCAGAAAAGGCCTCAAAATCCAGAATTCTCAACAAACGTCTTCAAAAGTTTACGCCACTACGGTGAATCCAACTTCCACTGCTCCTTTAAATGGATGATTAAATTTTGCAGTTTTTTTAATAATCTTTTTTTTTGTTTCAACACTATTTCAAATATTTCTGAAATTTTTAATAGTTGTTTATTTTGATCTTTGATTGTGAGAACATAAAGTTTCACAGAATGTCTCTTTTTTCCAGATGTTTCTAACTAAACATCTGTTTTAAATTTTTCTAGAAAAATTCGTTAAAATAAATTCTTCAAAAAATAAATAAACTAACATACGTATTTTAGTTTAGTGAATTCCAGATGGTTGAAGCTATAAGCAAGAAATGTTTGTTTTGGAAACAATGATTTGACAGGAAAAATAGAAGGGTAATATTTTGTCAACGCTTAGTGTCTGAAAGAAACTATTGTATTTTTTGAGAGTTTGATGGAACGGAAAACTTTTGTTGTTGTTATTTTTGGATTGAAATGTCGATTTTAACAGTGAAAAAAAAACAAAAATTGAAAAACTTGAAACAATTCTAATCCTATCCTCGTTGTCAACGGACAATAATGTTAATTTCACAAGCCAAAAGAAATTAAAACAGAAAAAATACAACATTTGGGAAAATCAGATACTATTAGAACTGACCCATTTTTCAGAGATTTCGAAGGAATCAGAAACAGAAAAAAATATTTCACCAAAATTTCAAAAAACGGAAAATTGATAGAGCTTCATTTTTGTAGTTGAACCTTTTTTTTGAAAAAATTCAAAAAATCGAAATAATGTGTTTTTCAAAGTGGTACATGTCTCATTTCAGGGCAAATTTTTGCATTTTCAGCGATTTCCAAGGATATACATATAGTGGAATGTGTAACCACTGACCACTGTACACCGTTACGTAAACATATGGACTTACTCTAGTAATGTTGATTTTGCTAGAAGGCAAAATATACTGGATCAGTGAAATATTTGGAAAAATATTTTTTGCAAACCGGTGAGGAAGTTTAAGACTGGTTCATAAAGTAGACTTTGTAGAGATTCAAGCGAGGGGGTCAGAAAGCTCGCCCCAGCTAACTCGTAGGCCAGACGAAATTAATTAATTCAAAATGACACGTGGATTTCACGTGGTTATTTCTAATGTTTTTTTAACGATACAAAAGACTATGAATTCGTTTTTTTTTTCGGTGAATACTGCTCCATTTATGTTGCTGTTCTCCCTTGATTGCCCGAGCAAGGGCAAGGCAATATATGAACATTTATTCAGATTCATGACAAATAACAAGAGAGACAACAATTATTATTACACCCAATTGATCCATCCGACTTCTCACGATGATCCATCCGACTTCTCATGGGGACAGCTCGTGTCGTTGTTGTCTTCGCAGTCAGATGCTGGTTTCTGGTTCATCTGAAAATAGAACGAATTATTGAATAACCTCTAATAAACAATTAATAATTATGGAAGAACCTCAATGCATTTAATATCACCTAAGGACATGACATCCGAAATATATTTGAGATAGTATTCCTACAAATTCCATCCATCGTAGTAATTAATCTTCAAAATATTGAAAAACTAAATTTTTGCAGAATCTGTGTTGGGAGCATTTGCGACGATTCGCAGGAGATTTGAATATGACACCAAAATGTCATGTCTTATTGGACACTTCATGCCCTGTGCTCGTAGGTTCGGAACACTGGGTCGAATGAGTGAACAATCAATCGAATCGTTTCACGCCCTTTTCAATCGTCTTCAAGATCGATTCAAGACAGTGCGAAACGACATGACTAGGTACACTCACTGTTTCCGAGTCCTATTGTTTTTCAATCATGTTTTTATGAATTCGTAATGTTTTTCGATAAATTTCAATAAAATCGAAGCTTACTCACATGTTTTATGCTCCTTTAACTTCTTCTTGATGCGGAGATCGTTCGAGTGTCCGCACTTCTCCTTTCTGCAGTTGCTGGCATGCGGTGGGAGACGACCGTAGCACTTTCTACAGATCTGCTTGTCGCAGTTGTACATCTGGACAAGCTGACGGAGCGACGGATCGATGATTCTCTCACGAAGATGGAGAACCAAGACGGAGCTTGATCGTCGGCTCGTGGTTTGTAGAGAAACTGTTGTCAATTCCCTGTGTCTATGCACAGGCTTGCCAACCCGAAAGTAATCTGAGGACCCCTGTGGCTCAGCCCACTTCGCTTGCTCCTCAGAAAGCTCTTTTATTACATGATTTTCCCGTTATTTCCTTCCTTTTCCGCAATCACTTCAAAACCCTTATTCAAATTCCCTCTGTCCGCAGAGGGGCACACACGCACCCTGTGTCTCTCTCACACACACGCTCTCTCACACTACACACGCTATAGGGGCACACGCGCCCCCTCCTCCATCAGACTCTTGCGTCACCGCTCGAGTCAGTCTGATGAAGTTGTTGTGTTGTTGCTGTTCGTCCTATTATTCAGACCGCTATATTCACTAATTACTGCTATTCCACCGAATTGCACGTCCGCTTCTCGAGGATTCTATCACCGACGCCATCGTGTCTCGTCCGCTTCGCGGCAATCCAGGTATTTTCCTCTCCAAGCTTAGTGATATAGTTGTTAGTGTGAAGACGTGTGTTGTTGTATAGAGATTAGGGGAACTGAACAAGGACAGAATCTCTAGGGTTTTTCGTCCGGTTTTTCATCCCTATTGATCCGCTATCCAACGTCATCACGCCTTCCGGACCGCTCCATTTATTGCCGATAATTATCTATATTTCATTAATTATTTACGCGCAATAAATGGGTCAATGAGTTACAACTGTTTTACTTGTCACACAGCTTATCGGCCCTCTTTCGTCCCACTTCAAGCGCTACATACACATTAGGATTCTCTTGTTATTATTGTTACAGGCCGCTTTACTTTGATTATTCAGAGTAATCTATTCTGCAGAAGGTTTCACGGGAGGATCCAACACCCCCACCAGGTGACATCCTCTTCAGAAACGTCTGAATCATCTTCGTTGAACACCGTCACCGGGAACCTCTGTAAAGAACATGTTTCCACAAAACTGCGATTTTCAGCAAAACATTCACTTGAATTCGGGCCACATATCCTTTCTGCAGATCTACTTGTCGCAGTTGTACTTCTGGGCAAGCTGACGGAGCGATGTCTCGAGCCTAGAAAATCAAAAAAATATTGGAACATTACATACTTCAGTCACTCACCTCAAAAAAATCGAGTTTCATTCCGTTCGCTCACTTGACTCATCACTGCACGAGCCCGTTGCATTGGACTTTTCACCTTAATAAATCATTTGAAACTTTTTTCAACTAATTTTCACTGAAAAAAAAAGGGGAAAAAACGAGAAATAACGAGCGAAAACGAAAGAAAACATCGAAAAAATATTGAAAAAATATTCGTATTCTCGGCCTAATGAATTAAAGTATGATTGTCAGCCAACGAACTCTCAGCAGCCAATTGAGAACTTTTGAAAAATTTACTGGGGCGCGCTTTCTGACCCCCTCGAATGAGTCCAAGTGAGCCCATATGTATATCTCGGTTCCAGTGAAAGTTATCAGAAAATGGTCACCTGAAAAAATGTTCTTTCATGTTTTTTTGATATCCTTCACAGGAACCAAGCTAAACTGGCTCAAAGGGTTCATTCTATTAGAGTGCGTAGCTCTGGTTTTGGTCCAAAGGAGAGACTCGTGCTCCTTTTTGACGAATTAAAAATTTAGAAATTCAGGGAATTCGAATCTTTTAAGAACATCATTCAAAAATTGAAAACTTCCCAGTAGATAATTCTTTTTCCTTCACTTGCTGTGATGACGTGTAGTCGTTCAAATGTTCTTATAGTGTCCATAGCAAAACCAAAGATTGTCTTTCTTCACCTTGTCCCATTTATTTCTTCTTCTGAAGAGCCTCTACAGTATACCATCATTAGAGGTGTATCCCGTCTGCACATTCCTCGTTCTACCACCGGCATTCGATGTTCTCTCTAGTGGTGGTATGGATCGATCGGGTCTAGTCTTGGCTAGGCTGGAATGGTTTAGACCTGTCTAGAACATTCTGGATCGATCTATACCCCACTAATAGTGCCCTTTCCCCTTCATGGAACCCCGATTGGGATTCTTTTTTTTTGATTTTCCTGAAAAATTTTCTCTCTATTTGTCTACTACGATATTATCTATCCCCATTCCTCGATGTGCTGACTATACCGGACCTATGGATGAATTTTGTAAAGAAATGGGTTGACTCAACAAGAAAAGGAAGATTTGTGCTCAAAATAACCCAATATGATTCGTAAGTTAACTTTTTAACCCATGAAATTGAGCAGGTTTTGAGAAAGAAAATTTCAGGTACTGCGATTACGGATCTCGAAGAAAAATTACGAAAACAGGACTCCCGGCGTAATGCGGAGAACAGTTTACCTTCATTCAATGGCTACTCTCACGACAAGAAATGACATTGGAAAAACTTCGAGCTGGACAAGGATTACATCGATAAAGACTTATCAGTTGGCATCGACAACACAACCATGGTTAAGCGATCGAGAACTCAACACGAAGCTGAAAGAGAAGAAATGTTCCGGTAGCTGAATGCAAAGCAGCGAAAGCACTAGAGTTGAATCAGAAGAATTCCGGATCAAGATCGATGTTTGTGGATGGACCTGGAAGAACGGGGAAAACGCTTTGCTACAAAACAATTTACCACAAGCTGTAAGGACGCGGACAAAACTTCATCTGTGTTTCACACACTGGAATTGCCACCTGCCTTCTCTTCGACGGATGCACATCTCATCGAAAGTTCTCGATTCCATTGGAAGTGCGCGACATGATGATTTTTGGTATCATCCCTGAATCTGCAGAAGGAATAAGCCTTGCCAATATCCATTGCATTATTTGGGATGAAATTTGCATGTCGGACAAAAGAGTCGTGGATTCCGTCAATTTGCTACTTCAAGAACTCAAGAAAAACACATTGCCATTTGGAGGAGTACTCGTGATCATGGGATGAGATTGGAGACAAATTTTTCCAATTGTCGCAGGAGTCAAATGATACGGTGTCACGAGATACGCCTTGAAAAACAGCTGCCTTTGGCCAGATATCGAGAAATTCAAGTTGACGGAGAAAAAGAGAGCAGAATCGGACCACGCTTATGCTAAAAGAATCTGCTTTTTTTTGTTTTTCTCAGTTTCAGTTAATGAATAAAATATATGTAAGCACTTAAAAAAATGGATAACAATTGATGATCTTAACAACAAACCACATCAAGTTTCATTTAGTAAAAACAATATTAAGTTCCTCTAATTGTAAGTTTTCGATCCAAAATGTCAATTTTCATTGGTTTCCCACTGTTCCGGTCCTGGATGTTCGGGATTGGGCTTTTCTGGTGAAATATTTCGCTTCATAATATTAGCGAGAGACTACATAAAATTTTGTCCAACATAGTAATCGTTCGAACAATTTTGAGAAATCTGAAGCAGAAAAATCTTTAAACTAGGGTTCTAAAACAAAGAATTAGTACTAAAATTGTTTTTGGAACATAAAAACAATCTGAAACAGGAAAAAGTTGTGAACTTCGAAAACGACGGTACTGGACAGAATTATACGATTTTTTTCCCGTGGAAAATTGTCGATTTCGCAGTCCTGAAAAATGTTGAGAAATTCAGAACATGCTTCACAAAAACAGAGCTTCTTTTTTGTAGTTGGTCACTTTTTAAAAAAATTCAACAAATCGAAATAACTTGTTTCAAACAGAGAGATGCCTTATTTCAGTGCTAATTTTGGCATTTTCAGCAGTTTTGAAGGAAATATGTAAACACCAATCACTATGCACCGTTACGCGGAAATACGTCAACAAGTAATTTCGGACTGTCAATTTTGCTAGAAATCTAAATCGAAAACTAATATTAAGAGTTTGGTCATTTCATTATTGATAAGTAAAAATGTTTCCAATTCTAAATATTTTGGAACGGTAACATTATGAAACATTGTTTTCCTTTTCTCAATTTCATTAAGTTTGTGAATTTGCTGTTTTTTCTCAGTTTTCGTGTATGGATTGAACTAAAAATCTTTAAAAAAGAGAACAACTTTTTCTTGTCTCCTAGCACCCCGTCGGGTCTACCGTTTTTTTGACATTCGATGTAAACGCGCTCTGCTGTTTCAAAATTTCCATATTTTCTAATGACAATTTTTTGAACAATCTTCTGTGCGACCACGAATCTTTTTTTTTAAACCACGAATCTTTGAAAAGTTTGCAAACGCGCTCTAGCGCACCACCAAACAAAACTTTCAAAAAACTAACCATAAACCAAAACAATCAAAAACACGGCATACGATCCGACCTCCATGAACGAGCTAGCCGTCAGCTTGATCTTTCCATCCGATTTCTCGTGTCCAGATGCCAGAAGTGCTTGTGTGAATGAGACACCTTGTTTTGGTGCCGGATTCTTCTTCTTATCGTGTTCATACTCCTCGCTGACCATTGAATGATCGAATGCGGCCGGCGCGTGCTCGGCCGCGGCCACCGGTTGCGGTGGATTTGCCCAGCGATCGCCGGCAGCGTCGTAGTTCATAGCGTTAGTCAAGTTGAAGGGGACCTGGATGAATTTTACTGTTTCGAAAATATTGTTTAGTTTTTTCATTTGTGTTTACAGTGTTAACATTTGAAAAAAGTAAGAGGACATTTAAATTTACCGACACATGAGAGCTCAAATATCTTAATTCCTAGAAGAGATATAAAAATTCTATCGACTACAAAAATATAGGAAATTTTGAGTTAAACATTTTATAAGTTGACAAATATTTGATATCTCTCATGGCAATTGAGATAATTGAGCTCAAAAAGGAAGCGTTTTTAGATAATTCAGGCTAATTTTTACAGTTTCTACAACTTGGTTTAGTTTGGCTATAAGCTAGAAGAATAATTTGAATAAGAGTTCAAGTTAATTAGTTTAATCAAACCGAATCATTATAAATAACTTAATTTCAAGGCCTGTATATGAACATTCACTTCAAAAAATCTGAAAAAAAGTAGCATGACTAAAACAGAGAAAAAATATTTTGAAGTTG